TTATGACCCATGTGGTGGATGGTGAGGGAGAAGAGTGTTAACTGACCCATGTGGTGGTGAGGGTAGAAAGGGTGTTAACTGACCCATATGGTGGTGGTGAGGGTAGAAAGAGTGTGTGACCCACATGGTGGTGAGAGTGAAAGAGTGTTACAGCCCCATGTGGAGGATGGTGAGGGTAGAAGAGTGTTAACTGACCCATGTGGTGGTGAGGTAGAAAGGGTGTTAGCGACCCATGTGGTGGATGGTGAGGTGAGAAAAGTGTTTACTGACCCATGTGGTGGTGGTGAGAGGAGAAGAGTGTTAACTGACCCATGGAGGATGGTGAGGTGAGAAAGAGTGCTTGACCCATGTGGTGGATGGTGAGGGTAGAAGGTGTATGACCCATGTGGTGGATAGTGAGGTTAGAAAGAGTGTTAATGGCCCATGTGGAGGATGGTGAGGTAGAGAGTGTTAACTGACCCATGTGGTGGATGGTGAGGGTAGAAAGTGTTAACTGCCCATGTGGAGGATGGTGAGAGGAGAAAGTGTTAATGACCCATGTGGAGGATGGTGAGGGTAGAAAGAGTGTTAACTGACCCATGTGGGTGGTGGTGAGAGAGAGAAAGTGAGCTGACCCATGTGGAGGATGGTGAGGGTAGAGAAGAGTGTTAACTGACCCATGTGGTGGATGGTGAGGGGAGTAGAGAAGGTGTTGACCCATGTGGTGGATGGTGAGGGTAGAAAGAGTGTTAACTGACCCATGTGGTGGATGGTGAGGGTAGAGAAGAGTGTTAAGCAGCCCATGTGGAGATGGTGAGGTAGAAAAATTAACTGACCCATGTGGTGGATGGTGAGGTAGAAAGAGTGTTAACAGACCCATGTGGTGGATGGTAGGGAGTAGAAAGTGTGACCCAATGTGGTGAGTGAAAGGTGTTAACTGACCCATATGGTGGTGGTGAGGGTAGAAAGTGTTAACTGACCACATGTGGTGGTGAGGTAGAAAGAGTGTTAACTGACCCATGTGGAGGATGGTGAGGGTAGAGAGTGTTAACTGACCCATGTGGTGGTGAGGGTGAAGGGTGTGCTGACCCATGTGGTGGATGGTGAGGGTAGAGAAAGTGTTAGCTGACCCATGTGGTGGTGGTGAGAGGAGAGAAAGAGTGTAGGCCCATGTGGAGGATGGTGAGGGTAGAGTGTGCTGACCCATGTGGTGGATGGTGAGGGTAGAAGAGGTGTGCTGCCATGTGGTGGATGGTGAGGGTGGAGAAAGAGTGCTTATTGTGTGGAGGGATGGTGAGGGTAGAGAAGAGTGTTAACTGACCCATGTGTGGTGGATGGTGAGGGTAGAGAGTGTTAACTGACCCATGTGGAGGATGGTGAGAAAGTGTTAACTGACCCATGTGAGGATGGTGGTGAGGTAGAGAAGAGTGTTAACTGACCCATGTGGGTGGTGGTGAGAGAGTGGCAGCCCATGTGGAGGATGGTGAGGGGTAGAAGGGTGTTAAACTGACCCATGTGGTGGATGGTGAGGGTAGAGAAGAGTGTTAACTGACCCATGTGGTGGATGGTGAGGGTAAGAAGAGTGTTACAGTGACCCATGTGGTGGATGGTGAGGGGTAGAGAAGAGTGTTAGCAGCCCATGTGGAGGATGGTGAGGGTAGAAAATTAACTGACCCATGTGGTGGATGGTGAGGGGTAGAAGAGTGTTAACTGACCCATGTGGTGGATGGTGAGGTAGAGAAGAGTGTTAACTGACCCATGTGGTGGATGGTGAGGGTAGAGAAGAGTGTTAACTGACCCATGTGGTGGTGAGGGTAGAGAGTGTTAGCGGCCCATGTGGTGGATGGTGAGGGAGAGAAGAGTGTTAACTGACCCATGTGGAGGATGGTGAGGGTAGGAAGAGTGTTAACTGACCCATGTGGTGGATGGTGAGGGTAGAAGAGTGTTAACTGACCCATGTGGTGGATGGTGAGGTAGAAGAGTGTTAACTGACCCATGTGGTGGATGGTGAGGGGTAGAAGAGTGTTAACTGACATGTGGTGGATGGCGAGGGTGAAGAGTGTTAACTGACCCATGTGGTGGTGGTGAGGGTAGAAGAGTGTTAACAAACCCATGTGGTGGTGAGGGTAGAAGGTGTTAGCGGCCCATGTGGTGGTGGTGAGGGGTAGAAGAGTGTTAACAAACCCATGTGGTGGTGAGGGTAGAGGAAAGAGTGTTAACTGACCCATGTGGTGGTGGTGAGAGGTGAAAGAGTGTTAACAAACCATGGTGGTGAGGGGTAGAAGAGTGTTAACAGACCCATGTGGTGGTGGTGAGGGTAGAAAGTGTTAACAAACCCATGTGGTGGTGAGGGTAGAGAAGAGTGTTAGCACCCATGTGGTGGTGGTGAGGTAGAGAAGAGTGTTAACAAACCCATGGTGGTGAGGGAGTAGAAAGTGTTAACGACTCATGTGGTGGTGGTGAGGGTAAGAGAGTGTTAACTGACCCATGTGGTGGTGGTGAGGGGTAGAAGAGTGTTAACAAACCCATGTGGTGGTGAGGGTAGAGAAGAGTGTTAACAAACCCATGTGGTGGTGAGGGTAGAAAGAGTGTTAACTGACCCATGTTGGAGGATGATGGTAGGGAGGTAGAGAAGAGTAACTGACCCATGTGGTGGATGGGTGAGGGTAGAGAGAAGAGTGTTAACAGACCCATGTGGTGGTGGTGAGGGTAGAAGGTGTTACCTGACCCATGTGGTGGATGGTGAGGGTAGAAAGGTGTTAACTGACCCATGTGGTGGTGAGGGGTAGAGAGTGTTAACTGACCCGTGTGGTGAGGTAGAGAAGGGTGTTAACTGACCCATGTGGTGGTGAGGGTAGAGAAGAGTGTTAGGCCCATGTGGTGGTGGTGAGGGTAAGAAGAGTGTTAACAGACCCATGTGGTGGTGAGGGTAGAAGGTGTTAACTGACCCATGTGGTGGATGGTGAGGGTAGAGAAGAGTGTTAACAGACCCATGTGGTGGATGGTGAGGGTAGAGAAAGGGTGTTAACTGACATGTGGTGGTGAGGGTAGAGATTAGCAGCCCATGTGGTGGTGGTGAGGGTAGAGAAGAGTGTTAACTGACCCATGTGGTGGTGTGAGGGTGAGAAGGTGTTAACTGACCCATGTGGAGGATGGTGAGGGTAGAAAAGTGTTGACCCATGTGGTGGTGTGAGGGTAGAGAAGGTGTTAACTGACCCATGTGGTGGATGGTGAGGTAGAGAAGAGTGTTACTGACCCATGTGGTGGTGGTGAGAGGAGAGAAGGTAGTAGCTGACCCATGTGGAGGATGGTGAGGGTAGAGAGAGTGTTAACTGACCCATGGTGGATGGTGAGGGGTAGAGAAGGGTGTTAACTGACCCATGTGGTGGATAGTGAGGGTAGAAAAGAGTGTTAACGGCCCATGTGGAGGATGGTGAGGGTAGAAGAGTGTTAACTGACCCATGTGGTGGGTGAGGTAGGGAAGAGTGTTAACTGACCCATGTGGAGGATGGTGAAGGAGAGAAAGAGTGTTAACTGACCCATGTGGAGGATGGTGAGGGTAGAGAAGAGTGTTAACTTGGCCATGTGGTGGTGGTGAGAGAGGAGAAGAGTGTTAACTGACCCATGTGGAGGATGGTGAGGTAGAAAGAGGGTGTTAACTGACCCATGTGGTGGATGGTGAGGGTAGAAAGAGTGTTAACTGACCATGATGGTGGATGGTGAGGGTAGAGAAGAGTGTTAACTGACCCATGTGGTGGATGGTGAGGGTAGGGAAGAGTGTTAACTGACCCATGTGGAGGATGGTGAGGGTAGAGAAGAGTGTTAACTGACCCATGTGGTGGATGGTGAGGGTAGAGAAGAGTGTTAGACCCATGTGGTGGATGGTGAGGGTAGAGAAGGGTGTTAACTGGCCCATGTGGTGGTAGGAGTAGAGAAGAGTGTTAACTGACCCATATGGTGGTGTGTGAGGGGTAGAGAGTGTTAACTGACCCATGTGTGGTGGTGAGGGTAGATAGAGTGTTAACTGACCCATGTGGAGGATGGTGAGGGTAGAGAAGGTGTTAACTTGACCCATGTGGTGGTGAGGGTAGAGAAGGGTGTTAACTGACCCATGTGGTGGATGGTGAGGGGAGAGAGTGTTAACTGACCCATGTGGTGGTGGTGAGGGAGAAGAGTGTTAACTGACCCATGTGGAGGATGGTGAGGGTAGAGAGAGTGTTAACTGACCCATGTGGTGGATGGTGAGGGTAGAAGGGTGTGCTGACCCATGTGGTGGATGGTGAGGGGTGGAGAAGAGTGTTAACTGACCCATGTGGAGGATGGTGAGGGTAGAGAAGAGTGTTAACTGACCCATGTGGTGGATGGTGAGGGTAGAGAAGAGTGTTAACTGACCCATGGTGGTGGAGAGGAGAGAGAAGAGTGTTAACTGACCCATGTGGAGGATGGTGAGGGTAGAGAAGAGTGTTAACTGACCCATGTGGTGGTGGTGAGGAGGAGAGAGTGTTAACTGACCCATGTGGAGGATGGTGAGGGGTAGAAAGGGTGTTAACTGACCCATGTGGTGGATGGTGAGGGTAGAAAGTGTTAACTGACCCATGTGGTGGATGGTGGGAGTAGAAGAGTGTTACTGACCATGTTGGATGGTGAGAGAGAAGAGTGTTAACAGACATGTGGAGGATGGTGAGGGTAGAGAGTGTTAACTGACCCATGTGGTGGATGGTGAGGGTAGAAGAGTGTTAACTGGCCCATGTGGTGGATGGTGAGGGTAGAGAGTGTTAACTGACCCATGTGGTGGATGGTGAGGTAGAGAAGAGTGTTAACGACCCATGTGGTGGTGAGGGTAGAGAAGAGTGTTAACTGACCCATGTGGTGGATGGTGAGGGTAGAGAAGAGTGTTAACCTGACCCATGTGGAGGATGGTGAGGGGTAGAGAGTGACTGACCCATGTGGTGGATGGTGAGGGTAAGAGAGTGTTTGACCCATGTGGTGGATGGTGAGGGGTGAGAAGAGTGTTAACTGACCCATGTGGTGGATGGTGAGGGTAGAGAAGAGTGGTTCATCACTGTCCTGCACCTTCTGCAGCTGCTGAAGGAGGTCCTCCAGGGTTCGTACACACACTCGCTGTAAAGTAACCACTACATCAGACAGGACTACCATTATGTGCAACATTTACTTGATTTGATCAAATTTGGAGGAAATATTATGCTTGGCTAGATCTTTTATGGGAAAAGCCATATAAAAATAATGTTTTAAAACATTCAGATTAAGAGTATTGTGAGTACCAATTGATATACACACACACAAGGGTCAAGACGTACCTGGCATTGCTCTGGCAGCAGCCAGGTGAACTATTATGTTGGCCGATACCCCAACTGCCTCCCCTGAACCCCTCCTCCCCACCAGAATATCAACAAGTTCTTGCCAGAAGTTACTATTTCATTTCAGAAAGAAATGGAATCAGTGTTGAACAGTGCTTAAGCCAGTGAAAACACCGCACCAGTAACAGTAATAGCTGAGAGTCATACCCAAGCTAACCTTCACACAGTGAGGTCCCAGGTACCCAGTGATAACTGCCCCTGAGACTCAACAACACCAGCTATGTGTTAATCCGTCCACGATAGGGAGGCCTGGGACCACACCTGACTGTACACCACTTGAGTGAGTGAGGTCCTATAACACTAAGCCATGTGGTGTCCCCATGACGCTACATAGTGAATGAGTTCCTACAGCATCATGTGAGGCCCCTCATAACACCATCTGTGATGGAACTACTACACCACGTGATGCCCCTCATAACACCACCTGTGAGGGAACTACTACACCACGTGATGCCCCTCATAACACCACCTGTGAGGGAACTACTACACCACGTGGTATCCCATACACCACCTGTGAGAACTACTACACCACGTGATGCCCCCCATAACACCACCTGTGAGGGACTACTACACCACGTGATGCTCCTCATAACACCACCTGTGAGGGAACTATTACACCACGTGATGCTCCTCATAACACCACCTGTGAAACTACTACACCACGTATTGCCTCATAACACCATCTGTGAGAACTACTACACCACGTGATGCCCCTCATAACACCATCTGTGAGAATTACTACACCACGTCAGGTCCTCCTTAACACCATCTGTGAGGATTTACTACACCACGTGATGCCTCATAACACCATCTGTGAGGATTTACTACACCACGTGATGCTCCTCATAACACCACCTGTGAGGGAACTACTACACCACGTGATGCCCCTCATAACACCATCTGTGAGGGAACTACTACACCACATGAGTTCCTCCTAACACCATCTGGGAGGGAGTTACTACACTACGAGTTTGCTGTTCAAAACCTACAATAATCTGTATGTTCACTGTATGTTCCTTTACCTTTCTCTAATGAAGGCTTTTGTTAAACCACCAATGTATGAATAAGTCATTTATGTCCAATGTATATTTTCTGCCTTCGGGCTGCAGAACTTTTTCAATAAACCGTTAATTATTAATATTATTATTATTATTATTATTATTATTATTATTATTATTATTACTACTATTATTATTACTACAGACACACAAACTGGTTAAATATGTAAAGGGTGGTGGGGGTCATGCAGCACCTGGCAAATTCCTGTCTGGTTATACTGTACTCTCAAAATATGAAATTGTTCATTGAGCACGTGTCTGGCTCACGGGAATGAGAAATCACTTAGTCTGCCTCCAAGTCCAGGCACACTCAGGCTGGTGAATTGCTAATCTAAGCCAGGCATCAGTCACTCTGATGAACCAGTGCATTTATACCAATCCATTTATTGTACTGTACAGCACTGTACAAACAATACAACACTGTACAAACAATACAACACTGTACAAACAATACAGGAATGTACAAACAATACAGTACTGTACAAACAATACAGTACTGTACAAACAATACAACACTGAACAAACAATACAGTACTGTACAAACAATACAACACTGTACAAACAATACAGCACTGTACAAACAATACAGCACTGTACAAACAATACAACACTGTACAAACAATACAACACTGTACAAACAATACAGTACTGTACAAACAATACAGTACTGTACAAACAATACAACACTGTACAAACAATACAACACTGTACAAACAATACAACACTGTACAAACAATACAACACTGTACAAACAATACAGGAATGTACAAACAATACAGTACTGTACAAACAATACAGCACTGTACAAACAATACAACACTGTACAAACAATACAGCACTGAACAAACAATACAGTACTGTACAAACAATACAGCACTGTACAAACAATACAGTACTGTACAAACAATACAGTACTGTACAAACAATACAGTGCTGTACAAACAATACAACACTGTACAAACAATACAGCACTGAACAAACAATACAGCACTGAACAAACAATACAACACTGAACAAACAATACAGCACTGTACAAACAATACAGCACTGAACAAACAATACAACACTGAACAAACAATACAACACTGAACAAACAATACAACACTGAACAAACAATACAACACTGTACAAACAGGCCAGTATACTGTACAAACAATACAACACTGTACAAACAGGCCAGTATACTGTACAAACAATACAACACTGAACAAAGAGGCCAGTATACTGTACAAACAGGCCAGTATACTGTACAAACAATACAGTACTGTACAAACAGGCCAGTATACTGTACAAACAGGCCAGTATACTGTACAAACAATACAGTACTGTACAAACAGGCCAGTATACTGTACAAACAATACAGTACTGTACAAACAGGCCAGTATACTGTACAAACAGGCCAGTATACTGTACAAACAATACAGTACTGTACAAACAAGCCAGTATACTGTACAAACAGGCCAGTATACTGTACAAACAATACAGTATACTGTACAAACAGGCCAGTATACTGTACAAACAGGCCAGTATACTGTACAAACAATACAGTACTATACAAACAGGCCAGTATACTGTGCAAACAGGCCAGTATACTGTACAAACAATACAGTACTGTACAAACAGGCCAGTATACTGTACAAACAGGGCAGTATACTGTACAAACAGGCCAGTATACTGTACAAACAATACAGTACTGTACAAACAGGCCAGTATACTGTGCAAACAATACAGTACTGTACAAACAGGCCAGTATACTGTACAAACAATACAGTACTGTAAACAGGCCAGTATACTGTACAAACAGGCCAGTATACTGTACAAACAGCCAGTACTGTACAAACAATACAGTACTGTACAAACAGGCCAGTATACTGTACAAACAGGCCAGTATACTGTACAAACAATACAGTACTGTACAAACAGCAGTATACTGTACAAACAGGCCAGTATACTGTACAAACAGGCCAGTATACTGTACAAACAATACAGTACTGTACAAACAGGCCAGTATACTGTACAAACAGGCAGTATACTGTACAAACAGGCCAGTATACTGTACAAACAATACAGTACTGTACAAACAGGCCAGTATACTGTACAAACAATACAGTATACTGTACAAAACAAGCCAGTATACTGTACAAACAATACAGTACTGTACAAACAGGCCAGTATACTGTACAAACAATACAGTACTGTACAAACAGGCCAGTATACTGTACAAACAATACAGTGCTGTACAAACAGGCCAGTATACTGTACAAACAATACAGTACTGTACAAACAGGCCAGTATACTGTACAACCATTACAGTACTATACAAACAGGCGTATACTGTACAAACAACAGTAACTGTACAAACAGGCCAGTATACTGTACAAACAGGCCAGTACTGTACAAACAATTACTGTACAAAACAGGCAGTATACTGTACAAACAGGCCAGTATACTGTACAACCACATTACAGTACTATACAAACAGGCCAGTATACTGTACAACAATACAGTACTGTACAAACAGGCCAGTATACTGTACAAACAGGCCAGTATACTGTACAAACAATACAGTACTGTACAAACGACCAGTATGCTACAAACAGGCCAGTATACTGTACAAACAATACAGTACTGTACAAACAGGCCAGTATACTGTACAAACAGGTAGTATACTTACAAACAGGCCAGTATACTGTACAAACAATACAGTACTGTACAAACAGGCCAGCATATTACAAACAGGCCAGTATACTGTACAAACAATACAGTACTGTACAAACAGGCCAGTATACTGTACAAACAGGCCAGTATACTGTACAAACAATACAGTACCATACAAACAGGCCAGTATACTGTGCAAAGGCCAGTATACTGTACAAACAAACAGTACTGTACAAACAATACAGTCACTGTACAAACAGGCCAGTATACTGTACAAACAGGCCAGTATACTGTACAAACAAGCCAGTATACTGTAAACAATATAGTACTGTACAAACAGGCCAGTATACTGTACAAACAATACAGTACTGTACAAACAGGCCAGTATACTGTACAAACAATATAGTACTGTACAAACAGGCCAGTATACTGTACAAACAATACAGTACTGTACAAACAGGCCAGTATACTGTACAAACAGGCCAGTATACTGTACAAACAATACAGTACTGTACAAACAGGCCAGTATACTGTACAAACAGGCCAGTATACTGTACAAACAGGCCAGTATACTGTACAAACAATACAGTACTGTACAAACGGCAGTATACTGTACAAACAGGCCAGTATACTGTACAAACAACAGTACTGTACAAACAGGCCAGTATACTGTACAAACAAGCCAGTATACTGTACAAACAGGCAGTATACTGTACAAACAATACAGTACTGTACAAACAGGCCAGTATACTGTACAAACAGGCAGTATACTGTACAAACAATACAGTACTGTACAAACAAGAGCCAGTATACTGTACAAACAGGCCAGTATACTGTACAAACAATAAAACAAACACAGTATACTGTACAAACAGGCCAGTATACTGTACAAAAGACAGTACTGTACAAAAATATACTGTACAAACAGGTATACTGTACAACAGGCCAGTATACTGTACAAACAATACAGTACTGTACAAACAGGCCAGTATACTGTACAAACAATACAGTACTGTACAAACAGGCC